ACCCTTGTTGGTAATAAACCAAATGTTGATGTCACTCCTTCTTTAGTATAAAAACARCTGAATGGAATCTTTATATCTTGAATACGAGTTATCATGTTTTCCTTACGATACTGTTGGACAGCATTGCTATAYACAACGGCTTCCTTKGTGAATTGTGCTACTGTACCACATCCAACCAAAGGAGACATAAGTACGAAATGTGTCTTGTTGGAAGTAGCKCGACAAGAACTATTTGTAAGACTTAACTCAGACGCTTTGTAGCCAGTTAATACTTTCTTGTCCAAATCGATGTACATGGCCTCTTTATGRCATCTTACTGTTGCACCGGGTGCCAGGGAATCTGWGGAGAATRCAGAAAAATTATTAAAAAATGAAACGAACTGTTCTGAAAGAAACTCCTGACTTCAATATCTTTGAAAAGCGCACGCTTTCATTTTTTCCATTTATTCATCATCAAGCATTGTAGCCGGCGACTCCGGCTATACGACATTCACATGCTATAGAAGATAGTCCAATACTCGAGTATTGATTAAAAAAACACTACCCCGCGTAGCATKAAAGTGCCCTTTTTAAGAATGTATTTCAAAATTCACTTATCAAGAACCGGCTTAACATTCATTTCATATCGAGACCGATAGCTTTAATTACATTGAAGAGGGCGCGAACTGTCTTAACGCAGAACAACTCTGATAACACGATAAWGTTGTCGTTAATGTTTGGTTTGTCTGGGATCCAGAGAAAATGCGASGGTCTTTCCTGGAAAGGCGTATAGAGTATACATTAGTTTGATTTATAAAATGTTTATTACTATAATATTAAAATGTACTGAGAAAAAGGGTGCTGCACGGATTCATTCTCAATATCTAAAAATTATGGTGAAGGTTATCGTGTTTTYCACGGGCATTATGAGAAAGCAAACCGTGACTCGTCAACAAATATGACATTTGACTGCACAGACTGGTCTCAAGGCTGAGAAATTCGARATACAAAACCACTYAACGCAAAACTGTGTTGCTGTTCAAGGTTGAAGTCCAYGTTTCTCGTTTTTCACCTTGTCTGAGCACTGGCCACTTGTTGGACAACAAAAAACAGGCCATGACCGAAAAACGAGAAACAGCACAATGTTGAGCGACAAGTGAGTTTCWTCGCCTAGCTTTTAGTAAATGAACCTGGTTTGTCCTGGGTTTCATCCAKAAGCCTTARTATCTTGAATCAAAATGCATTAAAAAACAGCAAGCATTACCTTTCTAGCACGAAAATAATTTTTGTTTACAAAAAAGAAAGTGAAAAGAAAAAATGCAATTTTTTAAAGACAAATTTAAAGGAACAATATAATATACATCTAATGATAAAATCCCTGATTCAAATGTATTAATTGTCACATAAACTAATGCAAAAAGTCATTTTTCGAGATGATGTAGTATATACTGAGTATAYTGGAATCAAAAGATATCGAGAAAAMKTAATTCATTGATAGTATACGGCATGTTTTTAAACCTACAATCTCCAATCGCTATGTTTGTWGTCAAAACAATGAAGATWTTCACCAAGAAAAATAMATTCTTTTTGCCATTCAAAACAGCATTTTTCACTTTCCTACCGACAAGACTGCAGTATAATCCATCTCCAGCTATTTTMAATCATTTGCCACCGATCCCGCACTTCAGTAAAAGGAAAGTTTTAACTCACCTTTTTTCTTCTGTTGTGCAAGAATCAATGGTAGAAGCAATAATGTTGCATAARTGATTGAGCACTTCATCGTAGCAACGAAAAATAAGATCTTATTCTTAGCGTCAACGGGAAATGTTAAACAATGCCTACTTTCAACCCATATGTATATCTGCTAAAGTCTTCCAGATCCTTGAAGAAATATGATACATTGATTCTCATTGGTCGAATGCTATAGTTAATATTATCATTCCCCAGCGATGTTTAACCTAAGAGTCCAAACGTCATTCGATGTTTCAGCACTTAATCTAAGTTGTATTTGTGATAGAAATTCATATTTCATCCCTTCATGGACTTTCCTGTATTTTCAAACATAACGATTTYATATTTACATCGTTGTCATGTGGATGAGATACTGGGAAATGTTAATGTGCAGAACTTGGAATGAGATATGCCCACTTTATCAGAGAGTGATCGTTTTTGTAAGCTTGCAATCATTTCAAATAAATGGTGTATTTGACTCTATTGAATAAAAAATATTATTCTTAGTCATTTTCAAGTAGTGTCGGATGATGACTTGACTGGATAAGCAACCTTCRAAAGCCCTAGACATCCAGGAAGATTTCAGAATTTGGAACTCATGCAGTGTTTTGCACGTCAAGATTGGATGAGGRACCTCCAAAAGCCCTCGACAGACATTCAGAAAGTTCTCAGAGATGYTTGCACGTCAAGATTTTGAGTCCATTAGTTTTTCTCTTATCAGTACGCCAATTCGTGTGCGACAATCTGGTAAATTAGCCTTRCTGCTTCAAAGGACGTTCATATAAAAGAAAGAGATAGAAGAAGCAAAATTTCTTACAGATCGATTACAAGACTCCACAGATTTCTTTGTCGGACCTCTTACTCATGTCTCTCACCAAGAATCTCATTGTAACACACCACAAGAAATATAAACACTGACCTTGCCATTCTGTGAAGTCAACTCCATCAACTGCTGCAGCTACCTTAACTCCGGTATCACGCATTTCACCTCCCATTTGGAATTTTAAAGTATAGACACCCATATCGGTCGATCTTATTCGTCTRATTGCCAACGAGCCACTTGGACTAACACTGTATCTGTTAGACGATAAGTCGAGTGGTCTACCTCTTTTGTACCAGATGAARCGTGGTAGCGGGTAGCATTGGACGTTTTGAAGAAAAAGCCCTGATTGACCAGGGTAAAGCATTATGGGATGTTCATAGTCGTCTATGGTTCCTRTTCAACCAGATAAACACTTAGCTTTAGATGGTCCACATTATCAGTAGGAGATCAATAGGCGTGGCTCAAGTGTGGTAAGTAAAAGTTCAAGATATAGAGGTAATTATTACAATATTTGGTCATTAAATTGGTCCAACATAAAAGGCGTTCTCAATATAGTACAATAATAAGGTTTGTCACTGCATAATTAACAAGTCAGATCATAAGAACAAACCCCTTACGGTTTACACTGACATCCACTTTTCCACTGTCTAAAGCTCCTTGACAAGTGTATATCCCRCCATCTTTAGCAGTCACGTTCTTTATGACCAATACTTGGTATTGRGTGTGGTCTTCCACCATCATTCGGGTCCCGTGTGTCTCCGGTACTACTTTACGCCCATATGAATCAAACCATCCTTCGAATGGYTGTTTGTCAATTCTACAARCAAGTCTGATGCTTTGGTTTGGGTTACAGAAACTCTTGATGGATGGATACGTCTGGACACCTGGGACTTCGATTAAAAGAGAATTATAGGGTTAATAAAATAAATATAGAAATAACCAATCTCATATCATTATCATTATCACCATAAAGGTCAAATTAACAAGATTTTGTATTCACAGTCTCTTTTTTTTTACATTTAAGGCCACTCATGACTCCMTTGATAGCTATCTTTTTGTTTAGTATCTAGACGGGAATGCATTCAACAAAGCCCTCTAATGGCCATACCAAAACTCAAGGTCGTATTATATAGCTCGATGATATATAGTACCGATGTCGAGACATAAGTCGTCTTAGGATTTGTCTTAGTTTGCGCATTTTGTCATTCTGTCTAGTTGTAAGTCGATTATAACTCGACATTTTCGTTCTGTTGAAAAAACGTTTGCAATGACCCTTAGATTTCTCTCAGTCTTGGAGAAAGAGAAATCTCATTTCTTAAGGTACTAGCATTCCTCTGAAAGTGGAAGCATCTAAGAGCGCCTGCTGTCATTAGTGTAGTTTGARTGACTATGCACATGAATGAACTGAAGACAAAACTCCTGTGAAATGTGTCAAGGATATTAGCAATCRTTATCATGTGTACACTTCCATCGTATTACATATTCACTTACTTATTTCAGAGTTCGATGCATGTGATTCAACGCACTTAAAATGACAAGAATCGGAGCAGCATTTCTGGTTTGCAGAACACTCATCATCACTGCTGCACTCTTTGATTGTAGACAAACATTTGGGCGGAGGATGAAGGTAAGGGCAGAAGCGAGAGTCTTGATTTCCTTTAATGTGATACAAATAAAAATCAATGAAAAAGCAAAAAATAGGTATACCTATTTTTAGCTTTTTCATTGATTACTTTATTCGACGAGAAGCTAGACGTCATTTTGTTTTGATCGTGCATCACGACTGACTCAGTGCAGTATTCTATCAAATGCTAACGTGCATCAAACCTTGATTGGTTGTAGARGTTGAAATTTTTAAGTACTGGCTYAATATTAACGTGATTCAACAGTGTGAGTTTGAATAAGATGTGATATATTCCCGTTATTYATTGATCAATAATCKCCGGGTGGGTCATCTTATTCTCACTGACAATTTCAACCAGGTCGTTTGATACGCGAAGCTAATTAATATCACACTTTGATTAGATCAGTGCTATGTTAGTACTACTTGGGTTAGTTTTTTGGGTTAATATTTGTTAGTATTTGTTATTGAGTACACGCAAGGTTAGTGATACATGCATCATCCATCATAAACGATGAATATATAACGCAGTATCCACCTGTTTGCATACATCTGAGTATACATCCATCGGTGCAGCATATGGATCTTCCAGTGCAGTCATCATCAACTGTGCACTCGTCCTTTTGGCCAATTACACATCGAAGTGTCTTGGGTGGCATCRGGCAATTGCCTTCCCGTACCGATTAAGAAAATGAAAATATAACSTTCCATTTTACAAAATGGGAGACTTGTTAGTCTGATACAAGGAGTATAGTTAACATTCTTAACACAAATTGAGTGTGTTTTCATGGTTTTTCTTTTAGATTTTAGGGGTTATATGCAGATTAGACGTTTCCACGAAGATGTAATTTTTTGCATAAAGAAAGTAACGTAATCTATCAGTTAATCTAAAATCTTTATAAGCACATGGCACTTATTTCAAGGAGACAAAACTGTTGGACTAAAGGATTCATTGAATTTGAGCTGCTAGATATAGACAATCCACAAAAGCAATCATTCCTTTTTAAATGAATTTAGCAAGTACATTTTATGTAACATTTACCTTTTATAACTTGTACATTAATATCAGCCCTGTCGGAGTTCCCAACCATCGAAGAATACAGTCCTTGATTGGACTTCATGTARTAATGGTTTGCTATTATCGAGTACTGCCCTTTGTCTGATGGCTGTACATTTTTAATGATAAGAGATCCACTTGGACTGACAATGTATCGTCCTGATAAAGTGCTAATGGAATAGCCATCTTTCAGCCATTTTGACTGGGGACGAGGGTAGCCTTTGGTTGATACTTTGATGATCCCAGTCGAACCAGCTTGAAGAAACTGCTTGTGTAGAGGTGCAACTATGAACACTGTCCAACAAAATGAAATAAAAGACCTAAAAATATTGTGGGCAAATAATACACATCGAAAGGGTTTTACATCCCAACTGCACACGCATTTTGCTCTGACGCGATACTAGTCAACACGATCCATTTCATAGATAGACAGTTGAATTATAATTACGTAGTAAGTACAAATACAGTTACACTTAGAATAATTACGCGATAAGCGTTCAAGGATTATAGAAATCTGTGTTGTTGTTTTTTTTGCTTTGTTTTTTTCTGTACCGTCATTGCATTTCCATTGCAGTTTTGGAGGMAGTCCACTCAGTATTTGAGTTGGAAGGATGCGCATCAAAGAAAGTAATTTATAACACAACTCTAATTGCATGGCGTACATATCGGAATGCTCGATCTATTCTTTTCAATATATCTTTCTAAAAAGATAGATAGAGGGGACTCACATTTGACGTTGAGTTYGTAGGTAGCACTAGTAAATGCTCCGCGGCAAGTGTACTTCCCACCATGCATCTCTTCCACTTTGTKAATGACAAGCATGTAGTTATTGCCACGCCCTCGAACGTACATTCCCCCATCGTGCTCCCCTGTTATCTTAAGTCCTTTTGGTGTGTACCAGCCTTCAAAAGGTTCACCTTTAATGGTACATATTACTTGAATATTTTGACCAGTAACAGCTTCATGACTGACAGGAGTGATCCTTATTCCTTCTGCGAAACAAACATGAACAAGGGAATACATTAATATCCTAAGTGATATTCGATAGTCTTTATGTGCAGAGTAAAAAGACCCATGTTCAACTTGCATCAAAGAGTGGCAATGACGATGACTGACAATGAACCTCGTATTGAACACTATTTTAAATACTCAACGTTTTTATGCTGAAATAGCTCCTTCATACCTTTGAATGGGAATGTGGGACCAATCAGAGGAGGACTAGTAAACCAAGGAAGAACAGTTTCTATTAAAAGACAAAAATGTTATGAATGATCATTATGGCAAAAGTGCATGACTATTAACATTGGAATATGCATGGTAAACCTTTTATGCGTCTTCTTGTTGTAATAGTCCGTTCTCTGCCTGGAGTTGGATTTAATTTTTCAATTGTCTTCTCAATTGGTTCAACTATGAAAACAAAACAAAAATACTCATTSTTGTAACTGGTCCTCAGATCTTCTCGTAGTCTCTCTCATGGCAGGTTTTCCAGGAGTCATTAAAATTTCCTTGCCAGAGAGACAACTAATTTTCTTTCGGAATGCTTCTGTTGAAGTATTGTGTGTACTAGATCAATTCAGTGTGTCATCTAGCTCTACCGTTGTATTTTTAACACCTACTCAGGGGCTGTGTTTCAGTTTCTYACCAGATGTTCCAATAGGAGAAGTAACTTGTACTGTTTCTRAAGTCGAYCTCAAAGTCGATTGCCGAGTAGTCGGTGGTCCTGTAGTCGGTCGCTGCGTGGTCGGATGCAGTGTTGTTGTTCGTCTAGTGGTCGGTGGCCTTGTGGTCGGTCGCTTAGTGGTCGGTCGTTTAGTTGAAGGCTTATATGTCGTTGATGTTAATTTTTCTAGATAAGTATAAATTTAACACATGTCAAACTARATTATTAATCTAATTAATTCTATCAGTTGAATGCATTATTCCCGGGGCATCATTCGCAGGAAAATGCAGTATGAAAACCGACCCACAAAACGTGTCCAGATTAGAAAAGAGCCTACGAGCCCGGAATCCCAATTTAAAAYACTCACCCCGATTGGTTTAGCCATATATATATAATGTTTATAATATAATACGCCATCGTTCAAGCCCATTAGCCCTTTTAGTACCTGTTAATAGCCTGTCATAGCTTGTCGTCGTTGATACAGGAACCACACAAACAGTAACGCAACCATTGTCACARCACTTCCGGTCACTGTTCCAGCAATCTACGTCATAGTTGCACTCGAAAATTTGATTTTCGCACGATTTGGGTTTTGGTAAGACTGGACATTTCCCTGGTTTGTGTAGGTTTCGAACAACTAAAACAAACAATAGATATAGATAGAAAATGAGTAAGAACTCAATGAAATACGACGTTGATTTTTACAAATTTAGGTAACAAATTACTTTTTTAAAGCCAATTATTATATTGCGATTCAAATGAAACAATTCTGCATGATGTGCGCCTACTGTAGCTACCWAGATGCTGCCKTGAACAAAACCATTTGTACTTTGAGCAAGAAGGAMTGCATATCAAAGGTATTGAAGAAAAGWAAATGTGACTTACAAGGTCCCTGAGTCGGGGCAGGAGTCAAGGTGACTACAGCTGGTGGAGGATGAGATGGCATACACCAGAAGTTACATGAATCTGAGCAACATTTCATGCCAACACTGCAGTCATAGTCAATCTCGCATTCTTTGTATGGAACWTGGCATGCAACGGGTGGAGGAAGGATTGGGCACAAGAAACCTGGAGTATTGGACACTGAAAATAATGAAATTTATGTATTTCMTGGATATAAATTTGTAGTATTGATCTAAAGCAAGGTTAGAAATACTAGATTAATAGCACGGGCAACTGAGCAAGGAATTTAAAGATGCGGTCCATTTGAYCTAACTTTGACTTGCAACTGATTATCCATTGAATTATTTCCTTACCMATTCGGCCTTGTCTGTCCGTACATCTCTTTCTACATCCATCAAAGCAGCATGTTGTRTAAGTAGGACATTCAGAATCCATGGAGCACTGATGTTTAGGTTTATTGGGACATTTTTGACCATTAGGTATTATAGGCGGACAATTAAAGGCCCTTGTTGCTGGAGGCAAATAAAGCAAATACACATAAGAATGTACATACGAAACACTTTAGACCTTTCATTTTCATTTTAACCTAGGTGGCCACTAGACGTTCAGAGCCGCTCCGACGGAATTTCCGTCGGCCAGAGAACGGACCCGTCTCAAACTCCTTCGGAGTGGCTAGGAATGCCTAGCTACGCAAGCTAAAAGCAGTCCAGCTAGCTCAGATATTGCCAATTCTTATTTACGTACAGTTTTTGATGGCTTGCAGCAAATGTGGYAGCATGCACTTCTTTCCGCAGTCGGTATCCATACAACACTTTTCTGCACCAAGGCAATACGAATCATCAGAACACAAATCAAATGATGCTGTGCATTTATCCATGGAAGGTCTTTCACAAACCCCAAACTTAGAACCTAGCAAAAACAAAATTTACATTTATTTTTACTTATTTCCACAACAATATACAATAAGATCCACTAGCGGCGAAWATGATGCTGATGATACTGATATGATAGAGTCTACTGAGTGGTGTTGATGACGAAGATAATTGTAAGACGGCGAGAGCGGTGAAAATGATGCTGTTCCTTAAAGTACTTATGACGCCTGACACAAAACTTGCTGACTCTCTGTAAACTGATTCTATATCAAATAAATAATTGAATGGTGAAATATTCCTTAATTTCAGCATTGCGTCTTTGAGTTATGAAGATTTARTATTACAATATGCTAATGAAAATGACGTTAAGGGAGACTTCATTAAATATGGAACTAAAAAATGACTTCGCAGCAATGAATTTATCGTAGGCAAGATAAAGATATTCCCAGATGACATTCATCAAAAAAGTTTCTCCTTTGACGTCATTGTCATTTGCATACTGCATGTAAGATTGAACCTTTATAGCTCAAAGACGCAACACTGAATTGAAAGAAAATGTTGCCATTCAAATATTTACTTTCAATATGGAATCAGTTCAGAGAAAATCAGAAATTATKGTTTCAGGCGTCATATTCACTTTAAGATAGAAGTAGTAATGGCTTTGATGGTTAKTAGGACATTGAATGCCCTTTGTTGAGATGACAATCAAAAACAAGATCATATCCTTACGCATATGGTGTAATTTGATTTTGCTCGATGTGTCGACGCATCTTTTATTRCATCCATCCCCACAACATCTTATGAATGGTGGACAGTCAGAGTCTTGAGTGCASTGGTCAGAAACTCCTGTTCCGCATTTTTTGGGGCGTGGAAGGGTGGGGCAGGATGGTGGATTTCGAGCTGAGAGAAAATAAACTAAGTAAGTACTGATTTGTTAAATATGTCGGCTTTTTAGTGCTTTGCTTCAATTTAAATAAACTAAACGAAACTAAACACCGTTATAATACCTTTGTACACTTTTCGATTCTATTCAACGAGGGTTATATTACCAGTAACGCTTAAAACCAATSGAGAGGCAGTATAGGGTCAGTGTGACAGCATTATTAAAAAATACARTAATTACACTCTAATACTGAGAGAGATGTCGACAAAAGGCAACTTATATCAGAACGTTAATACGAAAGATAATCTTTTCCATTATTTATGTAAACCTATGTAAATGCGAGTATGTAAACAAGAATGCACGATATATCCAGCCCAGGATATTTGGCGATATTTGGTGTTACAACCCTTCGCCCTAAAAAGGGAACTGGGTGTCATTATACTTCAATTGACCAGCCTTCAACAAACGGAAGTGTTTGATCTGGGGCCGACTGTAGGAGTTCTACTAACTTAGCCTTGAATCGCGAACATGTTTGATTCCTGGTTCATGATATTATTGTAAATTAACAACTATAAGTCCAATGCATTTAGTTTCCACAATGCCTGGCCGTCCCAGTTAGCCTGTTTGTCSGTTACCAGCGCTAATAATTGACATAGATGTGTATCAATAAGTATCCTCTCGAATCCCCGGGAACCGAGRAGCAGTCTTCTCTCGTTCTTTCCTTGCTCCAAATATATAATAYTATTTGCTAACGCACTCTAATGGAGTAAAATACAGCGATAAGATTTGGATGTTTTGACACCAAGCATTCTTTATCTAATGTTAAACTGATGTGATGTACGTCGGTGTTTTTAGTGAAATAGTTGTGATAAAAAGAAGGCCGTCAAATCTAGAAACCGTACTACGTATTTATCACAGTTTTATCTCAGTGTTCCTCTAAGCTAATCTTATCGTCGACAAGGTATATGGTATGAATTATTGCACGCACTTTTGAATTAAGGCCAGTCTGGTGCTCTAGAATCTTCTAAAAACGAAAAAAAATGTGGGATAGGAAATACTAAGAGCCGAGATGCTCTGAAAAATATACTATTTTGCAATGATCGGTGCGATCGCAAAAATGTTGAAAGAGTCTCTCTCGCTTGTCTTTGTCTTCGTGGAGTACACATTTAATGTTAAATGAAGTAAAGTCAAAATTCACTTTTATTGTAATTTATATCTACATACTTCCCTTACGCGACTCTATTTATAAACCGTGCGCACTGGACAAAAGGTCTAACCCCAAATGTCTAGCAGTCTCAGATTATAGCTGATTGTTTCCTCTTTTAGTGGCGATAAAGAATCGAAGACAAGGTGGCTTCTTGAACTGAGGTCTCTGAGATATTTTATAGGAAATAGAAAAACTTAATGAACAAAAGAAATTGTACAAGTGTGACAAACGAGCAATATGTAATATACTAAATAAAGACAAAAGAGAAATCTGACTCCATTTTGTCTGTATGCCGAAGCACTCTGTCCCAACTAAGGAGATTTTTGATAAAATCTTTAAGGACTTTAAGATCCGTCTTAATCTCTTAGTGGCTATAATATTTAATCGCCAAATCATCAAAATTTGCCAACATGACCAACTGATATTTCGGCATGCTACATTTCAAAATGTCGAAAGCAAGTAAGGAAAAATGTAGTCATAAATGTCCATCTTAAAGGGTTTCCTACTTAYGTACCTCTGAAGTCTGGTGTCCTATAATCTTCCCAATCGTTTCAAAATGTGCTTTGCATTGTTTTAAACTCCATGAGAAAATTAGAGCAATGCAATAACGCGTTTTGATGCGATGCTTTAGCAAATAGCCTTAAACCTAAAGCAAAATCGGCTAAAAATGGAACGTTGACGAGCCTTGCGCGGGCTAAGAGCATTTAAACCATTTCTTTCTTATCTGCAAAAAAACTTATTAGCCATAGCACCCTCAGGGCTGGTATACGTTAAACGTATCAGCGCACGATTACGCGATTGCGTTCAGAAAGCGTTTTTAAACGCTTCTTTTTTCTTTTTTTTTAACTTTACAGATTCTTTCTTTCATATAACCCATTTGCCTTTTGATAGAGCGCTATTTCTGAATTTCCACATATCATCTACTATAATGTGCAYTGTAGCATGTAAAGTGCCTATTAAAGCTGTGCTCTATTGTATCTAATGAGCCAGCAAGAAATTGTAAAACAGTMGATAAATAATAAGGAATGATAAGATTAGATAAGAAGATTAATCGTCATTTTCTATTGTTTTAAAATTCAAAGACTCTRTAGGAGCAGGAAATCCTATGAAATGACCTTGCTCATGGCTGTTTTATATTTATAATAAATATATTTTCAGAAAAATCTGTTTAGCTTGATTAACCTATATCTAATGAAAGTAATTGAGAATAATTAAGACAGTAATGGTTTGAAGTCTTTAAAATCAAATCCGAATAATCGATAAGAGGGTCCATTATCTGGTCAAAACGCGSAAAACTCAYACTTCGGTGSCACATTAGAATGTTATTGATATCATGTGGAAAAAGCTGAAAGAGYTTCTGTTYGGCAACATAAACCGATAATGAACCGCACAAATAATAGTCCTGACAAGATTAGAACATTATAAATGTTATATTTACRATGGCTGCTTACTKCTTACTGCGTAAACATTACATGTTTCCCTGAGCTTTTATTTTACTTGTAATCCTCYTTGAGTTGAGAAGGAAAATTCATCTCACTGAGACGGAGAATTCATTATAAAGTGACAAAAAAAGTGCGATACGATTTTCAGACGACTAACTTGTCCATTTTTACCCGACTTTTCATTTGCCGTTTTCGTTTTGAATTCATGGACGAAAATCGATGAATTCCGTCGTTGTTTTGTCTCTTGTACGAAAACAAGCAATCAGTGAAAACCCTCGCGAAATTGCGAAATTGGTRGAAAAAAGACATAAATTCGGCTCCAAAATTTGCAAATGTAACTGAAGTAAATAACGCGCATTAATTAAAAGGCAACTGCAGATCGATTAGTGCGACCATTGATCATTGAACATCAATCCACTGTTTTAATCATGTATAAAATATCAGTTTCATGTTTTCGCACGCTGCCCAAACCGTAACTCTCAGGCTAACGAGTGCAATCAGTTAGGACAAGTAGCCTGAAGTCTTATCTCTAAACCATTATGTATATTGGCGATGCTCACATTTTTATTACCTGATCAAATTTCTCACATTTGTTGCTAATTGAGTGGTTTCGGTGCCCTGGTGTTAGAATCAAAGTGTTAAATGTTTGGTAATACACAAACCATGTTCGCTCCTTTTTGGGCGTCTTCAAGAACAAGGGAACTATAAGACACTTACCAAATAAGGAATATAAAACTATCAGAAAAACACACGACAAAACCTCTTTGTATTGCTATTTGTTTTAACGCACTTTATCAAAGAGAAATAACTTCATAAATTAATAATAAATATTGCGTTTTTACAKGCAATATTATTATTCCATTTGCCCCGCCAAAACAAAGCTGACCCTCAAGATCTACAGTGCGATAATAAATAYATTTGTGTCCCTTGAATGGCTTCAAATCATTGCAGGTTTTTCAATCATCTTGTAAATTCTGTAAATAAGCAGCGTGATTTCTAACAAAGCTTTCTTGGCTATTGAACCATAAAGTATTTGTATCAATCGTAAAGAAACCATTTGATGCCGCAACATTCCATAACCCAATTTGGATGCTGTATTCCAAGTGCAAAAATGCTTTTGGGTCATTTATAACCATTAMAAAACTTATTCTCTTCGGGTTTTAATGTGCATTATTGCAGGCTAATAACACTCTGTGAATGAGCTTATTTGTCATAGGAATGATAAAAGTCTAGAGCTTTGTTAATTTTATTATTGTCGCYTAGGTTCAAATCAAAAATCAGGGGTCAATCTCTTTTTGTGTGATAACTGGTTAACATGACATGAATGTACACTCCTAGACTACTGGAATGTACAGAAACACAGCAGAGAATTCTAATTAATTRGACTGCTATTCAYGAACTMGTATGGWTTCTATGTGAAAATGCTGTTTGGTTCGTCCTCAATTCGTTTTTGTCGAATCYACGATTCTGATAACGGTCTTCTAATTCATGACCTCTGTARCAGAAACGATGCATTTCTAATAGAACCTTTGGTTCCGACTGTCACTACGAATTTGCGCACTTTAACACGGTAAATAACACCGGCTTACCGATTATAAAGTATATATATTCAATRCCTAGCTTTTCTGCAGYCGCAGAATAAACTTACCTTGTGTCACAACCACCGTTACAGAGACTATTGAGACTAGCAAGTAAAGAAAGGTCCTCATTTCTACTGTGTCTCCTACACCTTCAAATTATACGCTGAAATGTTGACTCAATAAGAGCCTTCACATGAACATTTGATCTCTAGACCGTGACTGCAATACAGGATAAGAGTGATTCGTTTTGCATGATCACGCGTATTGTTAACAAAAGATAGGAGCCGATTGGCCTTTCACTCAAAYACGTAGCTCGATTGATGTGGCCTTGATCACTGTTATGTGGGCGATGTCAGTGAAACAGCCMGCTTAGGTTAGTTATTATATCACAAAGTAAACGTTCATTTAGCGCAAAAGTCAACATGTCTCCATTGGGAGTTGTTTATTGGCTTCTTTATTCAACAGGGCTGACCGCGTGAAAGGGAGAGGCTTCCATRGAACCGGAAACTTGTCTCAGTGCAATTGTAAGATATGACATTTATTATGGTCAGTCCTAATCACAGTCAAGTTTTTTTCAATACAGTGCATACCAAAAGCGTTGCAATTTTGAGTACCCAAAAGGGATAGACTTTCAGAACCAGGTTGAAATTTCCTTTGGAGCTACTTTGAACTTCAATGAATCTTTTTCAAATGTTGTTCTTTTTCATTAGTTAAACTATGAGGAAGGTTTGAACAGAATTATTCATAAACAGTCTCTTAACATTTAGCTCTTTAYCTGCTCTCAGCGCATAACTTTGAACAAACATTACATTCTAATAAAAATRCATCAAACATTGCCAGAGCCTATATTCTTCTGAAGCATTCATTTATGCCTTTTATCACGTTTATCTCCGGCGCAGTTTCCTTGTTTTGAGATCTTTTTTGTCAAGGTTCTGGCTAATGTTTGTTTATAATGATAGTTCTTATCGCTCTTTGTCCTTTATTTTCAGTAAACAATTGTATTTTTAATAACAAAGATTTTTCAAACAGTCGCTTTTCAGCTCAATTCCACTGTGAGTTCATCCCGTTTTCGAACTTTCGGCGGCTTGTAAGAAACTGTTCATATAAATGGCATCAATAACTACCAGTCAGGTCGTCTATTTTTTCCTCTGTCTAATAATGTTTATTAAAGTAGTTCTGACTYGCTGTTGACCTTTATGTACACATTCATTTACCGCGGCTTAGTGGTGTACTTCTTATTTGTAGTACCTCAAGAGCTGCTAAAACRTRACGAATGTGTCTAATAAATCTCATAGAAATGTCGAATTTCACCCATGCACAATTCATAATATTTCAGTCTTTTGTTTTTGTTCATCATCTTTTCGCGAGACTTGATGTTTGAAAAAAGCGTTTTTACTCATGCCCKACCAAATGTAACCCCCTTCAAAAATTGTAAGCTTTGGGATACCCCCGGGGGGGGTACTCCCATATATTTGCTATACGGGGACGTGCCGCTGGCCAGGGTATGRTWTTTGGCCTTGCTGTCTTAAACAGGGTATACATTTCACCCGAAATTGTCTTAAACAGGCTCTACAATTTAGATAAAAGAGACCGATATAATTTTTTTGTGTGTCTTGGACAGGGTAATATTTTCATAACACCGTAGAAATACCGTTTCACTGTTCCAGAATTAACGTGTTATCAAAAACTTCTTATTGTCTTTGATGGATGTCAGTATAATTGCAGTTTTGATGGTTGCGGCTTAGATAGCTATTCCTTATTTTTCCGATTTGTCTTGAACAGGGTATGGATTTTTACTTTTTAGTGTCTTAAACAGGGTCAGGGATTTAGACCGCTGGCGGCACGTACCTATCCAAAATGGGGTCGAGTGCCCCCCCCGGGGGATACCCCCTGTACGTTGTAGTACCCTCGAACTGTGCGACCCTTTGCAAGCTGCCGAGATGGCAAAAAGGGTGATCCTAATGTCCTATTTTCTAGCCATTCAGTTTCCATTTGACCGAGGTTATGATACTAAGCATGCATTAAGATAACAATATTTTTTTTTTGATTAATGATCTAGCTTTGTACGTCCATACCAGACGACTACATCATCTTGGAAATATGGAACGTCGAATTTACGATTGAGCATGAGTAGATAGCAGATCCAGGAATGGAGTGCAATGCGTTGTTAACTACAACGCAAAATCGAGACTTTTTTCCTTTACTGAAGCAATTCAGAATGTAAGTTTCCTAACATAAATAATTTTTTTACGTATTCCTATCTTGTTCGCACTTCCATGGCGATCCCATTCATAAATTCAAGTTTGCTGCAAAGAAGCTTTTAATTTGATTAACGACTATGTCAGTAATACTCTAAGAGTAGTCTTCTGCTTTAATAAGCCATTGTCAATAATAAGCCAAGAGGTTGTGGATGTCAATGAAATCCATCCAAAMGTTTAATACAATGAAAATCGATACCACACCCATTGCCCTGTCTGATTTCTGGACAATCGAACAACGTAAAATCACGATATAAATTTTCATGCCGGTAATTTGTAAATCTCTTATTGAGAATAGGGAGATTCCTGCGAAATGTGCAAAATAGTCTTTATGGCCCACATACTTTTAAGTACTATAACTTATTTATTTATTTTCCATTCAGCAAAACAAAAGGTCATACATTTAAGAACCACACACATATCATTTATCTGACCAACGTGTAAGAATYACTGACTGAACCATTRTTACATTGGCCTGGCCTGGACAGGAAATACCAGATTTCTGTTGCAATTCTTCAAGAACATTTCAGTAAAAGAATTGTGCAGAAGGAACGCATAAAGGAAGTRCCTCCATGCAGTCCTTTCCCGATCTATCCCAAGTACACTACTCCTTACATGACCTGGGTGGCTGTGGGGAAAGTTCTGGGTACTGTGGTACTTGCCGCTACGARAGAAGTCCGTCTAAGAAGTTAACATAGGTTATTACGATTCAAAGGRAAATTTAACGAAGGAGCAAGTAGCCGCTGAAATCTACCGTAAGTACATCTTTCAACAGGAAGCCCGCGACCAACAAGTAATTTTCTTCCTTTTTGGGCTATCATATTTCARTTAGACCGCTAGCTATTGTACGCTGGTGGTATATGTGGACTCCTATCTATGGTTTCGCTCAGTTWCTGGACTTTTACATAAAAATAGGGTTGTTAAATGAGCCCTTGCGCAAACTTAAGTGAAGAGTGATACATCAACATTGATGTGTACACGAAATGCGTCTATCCACKATCCTACATGCATTGCTGACTATATTTATCGCTGTGAGTTCAGGTAAGTTATCGTTAGCACATATTTTACACTCAATATCTCAATCGCGCSTAGGATATCATGTTTATTGAACTCTCTACACTACATTTCTGCGTACTATTTACTTGTTCCTACTTTACTTTCGCCATTTTGTAACGGATTTATTTTCYTCAGAAGGAACTTCGTTATCTGATCGATCTACGACTAAAACAATGTTATTTGAAAGTTGATAGCCTTGCGCACTACACTGTCAGAATTACATAATTATTTAAAGGATATCATGATTGAATTATTTGTATGCTTCTCTAGTAATGGTTTTTAAAAATTTTGATTTAATTGTAAATCGATTAATTTCTGGTCAACTGTACATGATGGTGTGTACAGAGCTTAAACACAGAAAATTATCAAGAGTGTTTTTGCTAGGCTTCCACAATTCCKATAATTTCTATGAATCATTCATTCTATGATCAATATTCATACAACAAAGGCCCAATTTAAAACATCACTGCTGGGACTCCCGTCCGACTATGTTTCAAGTGCGCCCTTTATGTTTGACCTTGCGTTAGATAATATTTACGTGTACTTAACTCGTCTATCAACTCTGAGGTACATTCTAGGTCTATTTTGGTGCTTATTCTTCSTCCTGGTCTTTCCACACTAGGCTGGTACTCGTCTTATTAACTTACTCGAGGTCGAGTTGAATCAAGGGAAGGACAGAGAGAA